TTACACATCCTGTAAAATAGCACAACAAAAGAGCAACTGCATCAGTGGGGCAGTGTGAACACACCCTGAATGTAGCCAAATGTACTGAGTTCTCGTGGGATTACCAACTAGACACCGGGAAAAAAAAATAAAACTGGAGAAGCAGGAGAGCTGAAGACAGCTGGTGTTACTCAGTTTGAAGTGTGTTTGAAAGACAAGGTGGAGATGGTGGAGATGTGCTGAGGGTAGATGGTGGGTCTAATAGACAGAGGACAAATGAGGTAGCATGTGGGAAAGAGAAAGAGCACAGTGAAGATGACATGACAAAGAGGGCAGTCGAAGAAGGACAATAAGAACAAAGTCTACTCTAGCTGGAAAACTGACCATGATAAACACTCAACACCAAACAAACACCAACAGCCTTCAGAGAGTTCTGTACTTTAAGATGAATAAGCAACACTTTAAAGCATGGGTCTCAAACACAAATGAGCAGTGGGCCACCATTAACAGCAAGGGTCAGATTACAGCATTACTGACATCTAGTTGTGGGATGGTTCATGGACTGCAAGGGGCCTGCGGACCTTAGTTTGAGACCCCTGCTTTAAAGATAAAACAAGGCAGGTCAGTCAACTTGATCTCTGGTATGAAAAGAATTCACAGTTGAATACCTTTGGTTTTCAAGTTCAGTGACCCAGTTTAAGACTGCGACACGATAAATACTACACCTCCCTCTAGCCCCCTCCAAAAATAAGACTAGCACCAAGTAGTAGAGGTGTAGTAGACCGTGATATGTAAGTGCACCCCACGTCTCAGAGCTCTTACTGCTGTCAGCCAACAGAGTAGAGTTGCTGGGGATTCCTCTGCATTTACTTCTGTCAGTCCAGAGGAACAGAAGCAGTGGCTCTGAAACAATGTCATCTTTAATTGAGAAAACCTGTGTTTTTGGCTGTCAATTAATTAACTTTTTTGATTGGTTAATCACAGGGTAAATCTGTAATTCAACATTTCTAAATATGATCAAAAAACATACAATTTTGTCTGTATATGGCTGAGAGTAAGTCGGCTGTTTGCTGGAGGAAAGACCAAATTAAACACTGAGGTTGTACAATATAGATAAATACTGAGTTGACTAAATACACAGCAATACTGTAATAATTAATCATGAGAATAGGACTATGTGTAAGATGCTTTTGAAAACAATTGTTTTTTTTGTTCACTGAAACCTCAAAATCAAAGCAGATTGTGTTCCAGGTAGTTTTTTACCCCCACACTATTTTTAGTACTACCATATTTTCTGGACTATAAGTAATACTGGTACACAAGCCTAGAGTGCCATCTAGCAGCTGTCAGTGTTAAAATAACAAACATTTAAAATTATATATTTTAATATATAAGTCACAGCAAGGATAAAAAAAGTATGACTTATAGTTCAGAAAATACGGTATGTGTTAAATATTTAAATACATTTTCCTATGTAAAACCTAAGCTTGAATTTTTTATTTACGTCCACTGATTTTTGATGGGAAATCATAGAATGCAAGTTTTCTATTCCAAAGGAAACCTTCACATATAATCAAATGAATGGATAATGGTTGAAAACTGGTGGCAGCTGCGTCCTGTCTGCCATAACACAGGGACAGTAATGAAAGAGATGAAGCCTGGTCCCTGGTGGATAAAAATATTCCCTGTCAGGTTAGCAATCACATGTGCACACACACATACAAACACACTGTGCCCTGTACCGACATCTTATTACAGCTGCTAATGCACTGGGCCTTCCATCACCATTCACCAGGCACTGTGGAAACTGTTGGTTATTACCTTCACCTGAGGTCATCACAGCAGCCATCTGCACAGTGAACTGACACTGAACACTCTGTAGTACACTACTGTGAACACACAGTAGTGTGTGAAGGCTTCAGCCAACTCGGTTTTATGTATTCTGCAAAAACAGTGTCAATTGGTAAAAACTTCTTGTGTAAGTCATGCAGAATTACAGTATTTGACTTCTGCCCCTGCCCTCTGAATGCAGCCCTAAAGCAATGCGAAGCAGTAGATTATTTCCAAAGTAAGTGAAAGCATTAAGAAGTCTCTGATGTCAATCTCAGAAACGAAACGAAAACTCCTGACTGAAAATGACTAACTGTGGATAACTATTGGGAAAAGAAACAGATCCTATTCTGGGTCTGACAGTATTACAGCAGGACTTCCAGACTCCACTGTTGAGTTCACAAGTGACATTTTAATTAAAGGAAATTAGCAGTGAATGGCAGCAGCCACAGCTGTGTTTCTGCTTGTGACTTAACAGACGTACACATAACAGGACACGCTGGCTTCTTTTCATTAAAAGGGATTTAAAAGAGCTGTCTGTCTGTCCCTGGTGGAGGTTGTCGGAGTATCACGCCACTGAGTCAACATGTGTGACAGCTCAAGTGCTTTGCATTCAAAAAGGCAAACCTTGAATGTGATGGCACCGGAGGAGGTGTCCATTCTGCTGGAACTGTTCAGGTCTCACAACTCAGTTCTGCTCACCACCAGCTCCTGTAAGCTGCTTGTTGTGTCATGGCGCGGGGTTAATGTGGCGCGGTTGGAGAGCTTATTGGCTGCGAGGTTTGGTGTATTGTTTTGGAGGAGTGTTGTGTGTTTCCCCTCTGTGTGCTGCGAAGGGCTGCTCTGTGTCAGAGGTGAGCGCAGTAAATGGAGGCCGTGGGACCCCCTCCGTAGCTGGGAGGGGACGCCCCCCATTGAGAGCGCTGAGGCAGAATGCTATGGACTCAACAAAACACGGGGGCTAAGGGCTTTGTCTCTGGTTCACTGCCTTCAAGCAGCCCTGGGATTCCTGGCAACCAGGTCTGAGAGGCTGAGACTGCACACAGTGAGGAGAGAACACAAAGGAGCTGGTGTTCCTCCGCTGATGTCATGGCCTGTGTACAAATGATCTTACTGACAAAAAACAGTTTTTACAATAGAATATATATATTTATATTTTATTATATATTTAGTCTGACCTCCAATCATTTAAGGGCAGTGTGATTTTTAATGAATTCCTTGTACGGCTGTCAAATGATTACAGATTTTACTCTGATTAAGCTTTGGCTGAATCATGACCACGGTTTGTCATCGTTAATCATGATTAATCTGACAAATCAACAGGTAGATGATCCAAAAGGTGGAATTATTAATATGAAAAATGTGGCAGTAAATATTCAAAATAAAAAGGTCACACCAAGGTGTTCCTGGTTGTGAAAGAACCTAGAATTAATTATTTATATTTTGAGGAATAGAGGTGTGAATATTAGGGCTTATTTAAAAAAGATGCTAATCTTAATTTAAAAAAAAAATAAACTTCCTCCATGACACCTTTGGCATTTACTCTTCAGCCCAGTTCTTCTATTTCTAGTTTGCATATTTCTGCTTTTCACATACTATTTGGCTGAAATTATTTTCCATTTCTGACTCCGGCAAACTTTTTTTTTTTCAATCTTAAGTTACCGTGTAATAATATAATTTAGACCTGGAATTCAATTTCAACTTCATGAATGTGAATGGGTCCAGTTTTCATGTGATGCTAACACACAATTTTCTGCATTTTATGGTCAAAATGACTGCTGATTATGAACAAGGCCTTTTTCCTCTACACACCAGAAAGTACTACTCCCCTACTCCACTGGTCTTAAATATCAAGGTCATCATGTAAGAAATTTGACCTGATTATTCTGCTATGTTAGAGCTAATGTCATTCGGTTTTAAATTATTCTTAACAAAAAGCATTTTTTGGGTTTGCAGTTTTAATGTTGAATCAGTCTAGGTCCACTGAGGAGATCCAATTATACGCCGGGACCTAGGATTATTATTAATCTGCTTTTTTGTGAGTTCTCCGTTAAGTTTTCACTTTGCCCTCGCTTCCTTGTCCTTCCTCATGTGCACACGATTGAACACGCACACAAGGTCACACACTCAAACGACATTAGCCTCTATGTGTATGTCTTTGTAGAAAAAGTTTCTGAGCTTTTCCTGGTGTCTGGCTCAACGTCTGACTTTCCACATAGACCAGGTTAATTCCCTGGAGGCGTCTTGAATAATGTTGCCGTTCTCTTGATGTGCAGCACCACAGTTAGGTCTGCAAACTATGAATGTGAATGAGGAAGCAATGGCCGAAGGCAGATGCACCAGTCGGTCTGGTGTTTATCAGAAAATGAATGCTCAAAAATAGAGCTGCATGTTAGAAGTCAAGGGAATAGAGATGGGACACTGCAGTTACAGTGTGTCACCAGGACGACGCCACATCTGACGACACTACCGGTAGAAAAAGCTGTCTGTCCTGGACCCCTGCGTGTGTGTGTGTGTGTGTGGGAATGTGTTTTTAGTGAGAAAAGCCTCAGGCTGAATTCTCTTCAAATCTTTCTGCTCATCCAGGAATCACAAACCAACAAATGTATCCGTGTGATGTGCTTAATGAAAGGAAAACAAAACAGCAACTCTCTCTAGAGCAGACGGCCGATGGAATTACCCACAGTGCAACATCTATGAGTGTGTTCCCACACTGGTGTCTTTGTTCACCTCCATTCCTGTCAAGTAGAAGATTAGCAGTTATCACGCCTGCCTTACACATCTGCCTTACACACAGAAGGTCCTTAGTTTGAGCCCCAGAGGAACCACATACTTGGCGCCTCCAAGTGGCAGCCTGTTACAGTAGATCTGCAGTTAACACAAGAATCCCCCCAGTATAGGATCAATACAGTTCAAATTATTATTATTATTAAACAATCCAACTGATCTACAGTTTTTACGAGGAATAGAGGAGCAGCAGCAGCTAATGACCATGATTTATTAGGGTAATGCACGAGCTTCTAAACATGCCTGGCTTGAGGGTGACCTCATAAAACTTCTTCACCAACAGGATATTTCTGCCAGGTTTGAGTGGAGGGCTTCATGTACCAACACCATCTGTGGGATGTGTTTTCTAACCATGTCATCATTTTCATGTTATTTTAAGTTGTTTTTCTGCTTCTTTCCCCCAGGTCAATGGTAAAGACCTGTCCAAGGCTACTCATGACCAGGCAGTGGAGGCTTTCCGCACAGCCAAGGAGCCTATCATGGTCCAGGTCCTGCGCAGGAGCCCACACCCCACATTGGTCAGCGCGTCTGCTGACACCCAGGTGTCAGACATCAGCACTCAGACCGACATCACCCTCCAGCACATCATGGCTCTTACGAAGCTGCCTCCTGCCTCACCGGCCATGACGGAGCTGGAGGAGTATTTGCTTTCAGATGAGTAAGTAACAACACCGCAGACGCCCCTGGAAACTGTCAGACTTTTCTTTAGAAAGATGATGTTACTGAGGTTGTTGTTGTTGCTGCTTCTGTCTGTGAGTAGAACAATAGTTGATGTAGTGTTTCGCCACTGGGAGACCTTTCAAACCAATGGTTAAATCTCTCCAACATCTCCCAAGAACAAATATGTCGGCATCAAAACGTATCTTTTGCTGTAACAGCTTCAAACACTGTGGTAGAAACACAGCCTTTTATTTTCACAATATATGTGAGGACATATACAGAAGAACTGATGCTTTGACGCGACTGGCACAAGTCAACGTCCCCTGGGAGGAGTTGAAAAATCATGTTTGTTCTTCTGCGTTTGTATTTACCTCTGACGGGTGTTTATAGTAACTATTGCTCGTGGAGCGTTTTTCTGAACCCGACTCGTTCTCCTTTCTCCCAGAGACGGTTGCACCTTTCACCCTAACAGTTAATTAAGAGAGTAACCCCAGAGACGGTTGCACCTTTCACCCTACACTTTCACACTACACTTATCTCGGTCTCCAGACCACACTGCTGGATTAAACAGACTGTGTCCCTGTCACCGGTGGGAGATGACAGCTCCTCCAGGGCAGCTGCCATATTAAAATATGGTTCTCTACATTCATATTTGCACCCATTCTGTCTTTCGTTCTGTGCTGAAGGGGACTCTGGAGCACAGAGAAAGTCTGGCTCCATTTACATTTTCCTGTAGTGGCCCATAATGAATAATCATGGTCAAATATTAATGATTTCAGACTGAAATAATCATGCAGTGTGTTAATTTGTGGTTAGCCTCTGGGTGTAGCCTCAATTAATTTGTTTCAGAGATTCCTGTACGGACTTGTCATTACTTCCCCAATAATTCTCCTTTTTTTAAAACTCTGACTAATTTGAAAACTGATTGACAAATGTGTTAGACTTCAGTTTTTTACTTGGACATTTTAAGAGAGTATTAAACCAGACTGTCTTTGTCTTCTGTCAGGCATCCTCCAGAACACGGATACTTTGACCCTAACGATTTCCTGGAGAGCATACAGCAGGACATCGAACGTGAGGAGATGGAATATGAGGTGAATCTAATCTCCGTCGCTCAGATTTAGATCTGCACTCGGACAGCAGCGCATTATTAATTGTCAAGCAGAGCTAAGGTCACCTCTGCAACCCCGCTGCAGCGTCCTCGCAGCTGACCACAACTACTGATATGTAGTTGTTATTGATGGAGCAGTTTCTCTGCAGGCAGACACTGAGATGCAGACCAGACAGATGCACTACGGTGATATCATTACTAATTTCGCCACAAGACGTATAGGTCTTCCTCAGCTGCGGTGCAGCGAGGACGTGGCGGATAAATAGATGGCACAGTTCCACGTGATGGATCTGGTGAGGCACATTAACAATGCTGGGATGAGAACATGATGGGGTCTCTTTTATTCTCCCTCAGTGACCTTCTTCAGCCCTCATGACCCTTCCAAATAAACCCCAGTCTGCCAACTGCCTGTGTGCAGTTATATCCATCATGTCTGATGGTACATAGACTCAACCAGGAGTGATTTTTTTTTGACCTACAAATGTCTCTCCTTAGTGCCTTGGTCCTCACATCGAAACCGAATTTGAAAACTAAAAACTATTTTTAACAATGTTTTCTATTATCTCTTTCACTTTCACCCTGTTCTTGAAAGCTGCTCAACCTTAAGCATATATTAAACTGGTGGTGACTTTTCCATTGCCGTTCCCTGCATGACTGAGCAGTTTTGTGCATCATTCTGTTAAAGCAATTTCAGTTATTATTTGATACATATATTATACTCTACTGAATATTTTAGAAATCGTCTGAAAGTCCGGCCTCTGCCCTCGAAGAACACCACTGGTCACATCTCCTTCTGTATCAGTGAGATTACAGGTGCTGACAAGTGTGAGACGGGACTCTGCCCGTCTGCAGAGTGCTGCATCATCTGTCATTCTGTCAGTCGACAGTGGGAAAGTGGGGAAAAAAACAGAGCCAACCACTTCCACCTTCACTGCCTGAAAGATTCATTACAGTGATTGATGGATCCCTGTTGCTCCATGATCCCATTACTTAGTCACACATTCAATCTGTCTGGGCAAAAGAAAAAAATCATTACGATTTCAATTCTGACTTAAAAGAGAATTATTTCAGATGCAAAAGATATTAATTTGCTCATTTGTCTCACCAGGAGGTGGATTTGTACCGCGCCAACATTCAGGACAAGCTCGGCCTGACCATCTGTTACAGGACTGACGACGAGGATGAAGCTGGAATTTACATCAGTGAGGTGAGTGGTGTGGGACAACCTTCAAATGTGGTTCAACTGAAGTAAGCTCTAGCTGAAGGCTGGGTTTATGATCATTTAAGGCTTGTGCTATTAAAGAAAATTCTCAAAATGTGATGTAGTCCATTTGAGTTAAAATGGTTTATTTTCCATTTTCTCAGATTGACCCAAACAGCATTGCTGCAAAGGATGGAAGGATCAGAGAAGGAGATAAAATCATCCAGGTACGATTTCTGCATCTTTTCCAGGAAGCCGGTGAAGAATATCCGAAGTTCAACCGTGTTTAAAAAATAAAAGCTTATTAAATTATTCTTTCTGTGTCTGCCAAGATCAACGGTATTGAGATCCAGAATCGAGAGGAAGCCGTAGCACTACTGACCAGCGAGGGAAACCAGAATATCTCTCTGCTGGTGGCCAGACCTGAGCTGCAGGTAAAAAGAGTTGCATTTGTCTTTCACTTCTAAAAGTCTTCACAGAAAATGTCACCCACCATTCACAGAAATCAATTTGAAATCTATAGAAGTAGCCATGAAAGTAATTGGAATGACAGTGAAGTAAGTATTTTATTAGATGTGACAGACGGCACAAGAAGAAAAATGGAAAGAATTGTTTTAGACAGAGGATAGATAGACAAGAAGATATACAGCAGGTTAGGGTGATAAAGGTCAGACATGAAAATGTACCAGGAAATTAAGAGAGTTTTGAAAATCCCGCTTTCTCCATTATATCACTACTGTAGAATTAGAAAAAGTATTTCAGTAGAGACAATTAAAGTAGGTAGTAGTAGGACAGAATTAAGGCTGTAAAATATGATGCTTATATGTTTTTTTTGACTGTATATGTCACACTGTCAGCAACTTCCCAATACATCTGTACGTGAATAGATTTTATAAATGATAATGTCCGGCTCAAAACCAAGCATATCTGGAGGCTTTTATGTTTGTGGCTAATGAGGCATCCCCTCCTCCTCCTCACTGCATCACAGCTGGATGAGTGCTGGATGGATGACGACAGGAACCACTTCCTGGATGACCTCCACATGGACATGTTGGAGCAGCAGCACCATCAGGCCATGCAGTTCACTGCCAGCATGTTACAGCAGGTGAGCATACACACATCATGTCCTTGAACTAAATTTGCTGCCAAACTTTTTTACTCTATGGTATGATGGGCCTCAATTTGTCATTTTTCAACCCAGAAGAAACACGAGGAGGACGGAGGCACCACTGACACAGCAACCTTGTTGTCCAACCACCACGAAAAGGACAGCGGCGTGGGACGCACCGATGAGAGCACGAGAAATGACGAGAGCTCGGAGCAGGAGAACATCGGCGACGACCAGACCACGGCCTCCAACACACTGGGCAGCTGCAGGAAGCTGACCTACAGCCAGGACACGATCGGCAGCAGCGACCTGCCCTTCAACAGTGAGTCCTTGATGTCCGTGGACTACACCGACACCGACTTCTTGGGCATCACGGCCGACGAGTGCGAGCGCTTCAGGGAACTCCTGGAGCTGAAGTGTCAGATAAGGAGCAGCGGAGTTCAGGGGCTGTATTTTCAGAATGAGGCGGCCGGAGGTCAAGACCAAGAGGTGGTGGATAAGGAGCTGGAGTTGCTTAATGAGGAGCTTCGCACCATCGAACTAGAGTGCCTGAATATTGTTCGCGCTCACAAGATGCAGCAGCTAAGGGAGCAGTGTCGCGAGTCCTGGATGCTCCATAACAGCGGCTTCCGCAACTACAACACCAGCATTGATGCTCGCCGCCACGAGCTCTCCGACATCACAGAGCTGCCGGAGAAATCAGACAAGGACAGCTCCAGTGCCTACAACACTGGTGAGAGCTGCCGCAGCACCCCTCTGACACTGGAGCTGTCCCCAGACAACTCACTACGGCGAGGAACGGAGAACCAGGGTAAAGCATCAGCGTCAGGCTGTGGCGGCTCCAGCAGCAGGCTCTTGAGGCCGCAGTTGTCTCCAGTTCAGGAAGCCTGTGGTCCCAGCAGGAGCAGAGTTTCTTCCAGGGATCCAGATGGTCTGCAGACAGAAAGCAAAGAAAAGAAGCTGGGAGAGTCCAGTAAGGCTGGACGGAGCTCTTTCCATCCGCATTCACCTTACAAACACGCTCACATCCCAGCCCACGCCCAGCACTACCAGAGTTACATGCAGCTGATCCAGCAGAAGTCAGCAGTGGAGTACGCTCAGAGCCAGATGAGTCTGGTCAGCATGTGCCGCGACCCAATCGCATCTAGCGAAATGGAGCCAAAGATGGAGTGGAAGGTGAAGATTCGCAGCGACGGCACAAGATACATCACCAAGCGCCCGGTCCGAGACAGGCTGTTGAGGGAACGCGCTCTTCGAATTCACGAGGAGCGCAGTGGCATGACCACGGACGACGATGCCATAAGTGAACTGAAGATGGGCCGCTACTGGAGCAAAGAGGAGAGGAAGCAGCACGCCGTCCGGGCCAAGGAGCAGAAACAGCGCCGCGAGTTCATGAAGCAGAGCCGAGCCGACTGCCTGAAAGACCAGAGCAGTGCTGAAGACAAAAAGGAGCCAAACATTATTGAACTCAGCCACAAAAAGATGATGAAAAAGAGGAATAAGAAAATATTTGACAACTGGATGACAATCCAGGAACTGCTGACTCACGGGACCAAGTCACCAGACGGAACCAGGGTTTACAACTCGCTCCTGTCTGTGACAACGGTGTAAATCCTGCTGAGGTCAGCATTGAGAAGGACTGTTGGGGTAAAGGACTGTACATAGAAGACTCCCAGATGGGTAGAAATTCCTGCCTCGTTCAAAGTGGCAACATTTTGTAAATATGAAATAAGAAAGCCTTATCTGGACAGACAGCGTAGTGAAGACAGTTTTTTTGGTGACGGTTGGACGCTAACATGAACTTAACGTAACCATGGAAATGATTTGACAGCATTTTTTCTGAATCCCTTCATGATTCATTTCTTACCATTGAGCTTTAACTTTTGACGATTGTGGAAACACAACAAGAGGCTTTATTAAAAAGGTGTTAAATAGAAACAACCAGCAGTTACACTTTTTCTCATGATTTGTGTTTGTACTTTATATCTCTTATCAGTATTTTTTTTTTTACCATTACACATACTGTATGTCGTGCTTTTATGGAAACAGTAGAATTTTCCTGCAAGGTAGAATACATAGTCATTTTCAAAAGGACTTTTGTAAATTAAAAAATAACATTTTGTATCAATTTCAATTTTTTTTTTTGTTTTATTTCTCTCTAACGATGCTGACTGCCAAAGTTTATACCACCAGCAACATACAGTATATACCGTCTGTTACAGAATGAAGACCTCGATATGACATCATACTGTGTTAGTACGTATATTTACATATCGTCATATTGTGTTTGTACGTATATATACACACAACTGTTTTTTTCTCATGTCTGTTAGAGATAACAATACAATGTAGCCACTTTTGCTTTCATAGGTTTTCATGTATTCAAAACAATCACAGCTTAAATGTTATCCACACCATATGTTTTGTAAAATGAGAGAAATAATAAATTATTGTTTTATATATGATAATTTTTGACATCACGTTTGGTCATCTTATTAATTAAGTTAGATGAATGGAACAATAACATGGATAAACCCAATTGGGTTTTTTTTAGTCAATAATTTAATCAGATGTACGATCTTTACATGCAGAGGACAATCATTTCTGACAAAACCTAGAATGAGGAGAATTCAATGTTTTGAATATTTTTCTATGGTTAGTATGAAAAATGCAATTAAGCATTTCAGTGGCAGGTACTGTGCTGGGTAATGTTGGCAGACAAATCCAGGCGCATGCTTATAGTTAACATTGCAAGACACTTTTTGTGCATACATGGTGGTTTTTGAAATTTAAATAAAACAGTAATTAATCTAAAATTTGTAAAAAGGTTAAAAATCTAAAGAAACATCTTAAAACTCTTGAAATCTGAACAAATCCTAAAAATCTTTTCAAATGTTAAAAAATATTTAGAATTCTTAAAATGTTAAAAATGTGAAGGTACTTTAAAACATAACAGCTTGTCGTTATTTCTGCTGTTGTGTTGAATCGACCGAACACATCTACACTACACTGTACAGCTACACTTTCAGCACAGACACACACACACACACACTGCTGCAGTAATTGGACCTTTATTAGGCCCTCATTCACACTTACTACAACCCTGGGAAAAGACACGGTCACATCTGTGTAAATTGCCCCTAAGAGCCTGGGGCACTCTTCTGTGTCATTAGGCTGAATGGCTAAGAGGGCAACACGCCTCAGCTTTGCCACCATGGTGCATAAAGTCAATTAGTGTACTTCATTAGAGTGTAGTAAACCTGCAGGCAGACTACAACCCCGTAAGTCCAGGCCACGTCCACCATTTTGGACAGATATTTTAGTGGGAATGTGACTGAAATGTAATCATTGCTGCTGCTGAGTAATCAGAAACCAAGAAAACCAGTGTATTTATGATGACAAAAAAAAAGAAAAAGAAATGTTGATTGAGAGGTGATTAAACTTCAATCTTTCGCGGTAGTTACGATCCAAGACCCACCGCAGTTAGGAAAAATCGTGAAGTAAAGGTGAGATCATTATTATATTATTTACGTACTGTTTATATTTACCCTTTACGAACCTCCCCCACACTGACATCAACCCTCAGACTGTATTACCCTTTGCCACACAATTATATGCACAGTAGAGTTGTATAATGGCGACGCAGAACGAAGTGAACGAGAGTGGCCGACAGACAAGGGGAGATGCATGAGCCAATCAGAGTGAGGAACAGAAGAGCATACTCAATTAGCCAATAGTACACCAAGTACGCATTGTATTAACCAATAGTGTGCTGTGTACGAGCCCGTCTTGGTAAACAAAGCTAAGAGCGATCGTTCATGAATCAGAATCAACATTTTTAGCCATAACTCTGTTCTGTTTTTACACAATGGTTCACTTGAGACTACAGACAAACCCTTAAAGGGTTAAATCCATCATGAACATCCATTTTCTAATTCATCCGACCACTCACATCCACAGCTGTGAACTTCGACTACCTCCCCACCTCTCAACACATCTGCATGCAATCATTTCATCATCAACACCTGGACTCCACCGCATTAGAAACCCACAGCATGCACTTGAGTCGTTAGGAATTTCCAGACACCAGTCATCAATTGCTTCTTGTGACGTGTGTGTGTGTGTGTGTTCCACTGACTTTTGCTGCACCAGATTCTACTGAACTTTTTCTTCCTGCTTTTCTAACACGACCATCAGAGACAGACTTAACTATCACAGGGTGTGTTTGCGTTTATAAAGTGTGTGTTGGCAAGAAACTGGCGATACGATAATTCATGATAGGAAGACTGACTTAACGCAAACAGATCCACCCCGGCAGTCGTGCAACCAGCACAACTGCCACATATAAATCTGAATGTCTCCTGGAAAAAAGCTGGCAGAATGCCAGTCTGACAAGCAGTCACCGAGAAAATCAAAGCCTTTACTGTCTGCCTCTGTGTGATGATGCAGATCTGACAGGCGGAGAAACTCCACTAACCCCCACGTCTTGCAGGTCAGTGCCCGCTGAGTGCCCTGCCCCCACACAGAGCTTCAATAAAATCCACTCCTGAAAACCACAGGAGTCTGGACATGGGAATCATTACAAAAAAAACC